CTATGGTAGAGTCTACTAAAGTTACCTAGGGGTGAAAGGGTTAAGCGCATTTGCACTCTCTGCACCCTTGGAATATGTCATGACAAAATCAAAAGCTCTAAATTTGATTAGATCCACATGAAAAAAACTGGCCAATCGCTAGGCTGATACCTGTCCTTTACATATTACAGAAGAGCTACATATCACTTGCTGCGTAAAGAGCCTTTAATTTTACCGTGACATGTTCCAGGGATGCAGTAAAGATACAGATATTGAGTGTGAAACATTTGGATTCTCAGAATATATGCAGCCTAATGCTATTATTTCATAAAACAATGATTTTCTAAAAATAGTTTAAATGAGCTTGATTTGGTACTGAATAAAATACAGAAACAGAGTTGTCCTTCTTGTCTACCTTCATCTTCTGTAAACATTTGTCATATTACATCTATATTGTGTGTTATGATGTTTAGATAGCTGTGCATGGGTTTTAATTCTGTAAATAAGGAAAAACTGGTCAGTCGAGATTGTTCTTATGTAACGTTATATATAATAAGGTAACATTTAATGAAAATATTATATTGTATTCTGTATACAATGTTCAATGTTTACAAATGTAAAGTCTTTGTCTCAGAAAAATATGTACATTTATGCAAAACAAAAATACATATATTTGAATTTATTTTGAATAATAAAAACCTGATCATTTTTTTCTTATTTATAGTTAAATAAGTAATTAACTTGTGACCCAGTTTCTTATGCTTAACAGTGGCCATTAGTTGTGACCTTTGACCCTAACTGCATGGAGTGATCACTTCCTTTTCAGATCTTTATTGTATATATGTCACCCTGGTAAAGTACTAGCCGCTTCCTACCAACTCGGCTAGGGAATTTCTCTTTATTTAGCTCATTTGGTAGAGAGTAAGACTAGTAAGGCAGAGGTCCGGGTTCGACTTCTAGAGTAGGCGTTGAACAAATAATGAACTCAGTTTCATACTGTAAATCAGTTGATTTTGGATGTGACTAGATTTTGGCTTATTTAGCATATGGTGTGGAATACAAGTAGAAGCCTGTGACGGCAAGCAATTCTAAAGTCAGTACCAATGGTCGATCAAAAACCTAGAAATAAATTCTTTAGAAATACACTAATTGATTTTTACTTAAATAATTGTTCAGTAGAACATGTTCAGTACATACGTGGCCACCACAGTACGATACAATATCATTGTCACCTAGACTGGAGTGGCTGTCATGCTTTCATTTTCAGAGATCAGTTGATACATGCTGTTGATCACAGAAGCTCTCTGGTATCCCAGAGCTAAAAATGAAATACACAATCATACACGCTGTTAAAAATGGGATCAATATATCATAAACAATTTGTTGAATGATATCTATATATATATAAAGAAATAAAAGACAAGAGTTTCTTCGACTTCCCTAGTGCTTTCTCCTCTTTAGAGGTGCATCAGGGGAATTCACCTATATATATATATAAAATATAAGCTTGTAACAATGCTGCCCAAATTGTCAGTTATTCAAAATCAGCAATTATTTTGAAAACCAATCACATTTCTTAATTTATACTTTGAAATAATAAAATGTAAGTTTCACATTTGGGAATAAAAAATAAGTCAAAATTCACACACCGAAATTTAAAAACCTTATATTTTGCAGGTCATTAGCAATGACAGAATGCTCGTTTAAGGTACCATTTTCTGTGTACAGGGAAACGTAATTTTACATTGGTTTTCTGGATAATCAGTTTCTTATCTGATCATTAGAGGCATTTTGTTTTAACATTTATTCTCACAAAATTTAATTTTTGGAAAGTTCATATTTTAAATTGGTGATATCTTTACCTTTTGTGTAAAGCAAGACAATTTCACCTTCAGTTTGTCTTTTCCGTTTTCTTCCTTGAAAAAGAGGATGAAATAAAGTGGTTTTCCTTTTATTTTACTGTCAAATAGCTATTATATTTCAAAAGACTGAAGAGCAACCATTGATGCCATTCTGAATTATAAAGTTCACTTTTATTGTCTGCACAGGCTGATAAGCCTTTATATAAAAAGTGTATCTTGTATATTGGTGTACTGTGTATTTTGTTATCTATTTATCAGATATACACATTTATATATATACTGGAACCCCATTCGTCCCAAACTTTAGCTTCTCATTTTTTCCCCCGAGATCATTAACGCACCATTCAGAATTGTTTTCCATTTTTTGGTAAATGATTTTGTGAAAATAATTAAGGTATATTTGAAGGATTAAAGTATGAAATGCGGGCTTATCAAGATTTTATAATCAGACAATTAAGATAAGTAATTCTTCCTACATTATATTGTTTTAGAGGACTCATCATTTACCCTAAATGCATGTACTTAAAAAAATCTTACAGGGTTAATCAGATGTCAAGATGGGTGGCATTTAATTTTACTGTAAAAACAATTTTGCAAATCTAATTTTAAATACATTATGGCAGTTATTCCTTTTGAATGACGTTCAGAATTTTAATGCCTTATTAATAAATACGAGAACTTTAAAAATTATTTTTGTTACTGTCACCAGGGGGCATTGATGCTTCATCGCCAGGAACCAGCAGTGATGCATCAAGGGGAAGTACAGACACTATGTGAGATCACAATGAAATACCACGGACCAAACCTTACTCTGCCACGGGACCAGTATGAACCCAAACAGGAAGTCGCCATCGACCAGCAGCATTGTGGGGGAAATACACTGACTGTTTTCAAAGAGAGGCTAAAGGCAGGAGGTAGTTACATGGCTGATTGTCTAATGTAGCTCTGTCAGGAAGTTTATGATTTAAGAATCAGATTTCAGGTTGTGATACATAGGGAGCTGTCTCGAGTCGATTATCAAAACATTTTTAAAATTATATTTTTCATGTCTTATAGTCCTTTCTCAATTTACGTATGTACTTCTTTATTGATTAATTGATCGAGTGAAGTTGAAATGCATTGGTTTTTGATAATTTCAAAGAAACCTTTGAACTATTTAAATTGATGTGGGTGTCGGTATGTCCATCTGATCTCCGTAAATAATTGTGCTTAGCTGCTTGTTTCATACATAAAATAGAGCAATATTTCAGAAATATTGACATTTGACCTGTGAAAAACATAAACTTAGGAATAAACAGTTTTCAAACCTGATTAATTCTGTGTTGCAGACAAGTTTACGTTTATATCCCGACGTCACCGTGGTTTCCCATTCAGTCTGTCGGTATACGTTGATGGCCGTATGGACTTCCGGATCAGCCGCTGCTGTGAATACAAACACTTCAAGGGAGTCCGACTCGGAGGCAAGCTTGGACACTTCAGTCTACTGGGTGTAGAGGGAGCCACTCCCTGTTACAGGTGAGTCAAGCCGAAATATCGTTTTTTTTAAATGGAGACATTTTTTCTGATCGATTTAATCATGCAACCTAATGTAATAATAAGTTCATTGTGAAAAATTAAAATGATATTATGTCTATTGTTTTTCTTTAATTATCAATTATACATACACCATACTTGCCGACTTTCCCTATTTTGGACGGATCGAGACTCCTGATT